TTAGACCAGTTGATCTCGGATATATCGTATTTATATTGATAATTATTGCTTACTTAGTTTTTCCATTCATTCATTACAAAATTTATAAAGTTTGCATCTTTTAATTTGAACTGAAATCGCCCTTGGACTCCAAAATAATCTTTTATTTCATTTTTAAGAAAAAGAGATGCTCCGTGATATTGAAGGACAGATCTTAACTTATATAGGTTAATAACTTGGACTTGTGATAATTTGTAAAATACATATGCTTGTGACAAGGAGGTTAGGTTATAAAAAATCTGTGAATTCTTATTAATATTACTATAATTAAATGCCTTTTTTATAATCGAGATAAAATGAATTAGTGTATTTTGATTTGTTTCATTAATTCTTTTGTGATTTTCTTTTTTATTATACAGTTAAATATATTTATTAATCATTTTTCTTAGTGATTCAAGAAAAAGTTGTACATTGATCTTTAGAATATTAATGATAGCTACAAGGATATTTATAAATGTCTTTTCTATCAATTTTATATATATATATATATAAAGAATAGGATTTATGAACTAATTGAGCCCTGTTTCTTTTTAATATCCGTAAACTATTTTTTTGATGGTTTAATCTTTTAGCATTATAACTTAGTTTGTTAGGACTAATATTTCTTTCTAAGGTTATAAATCATTTTTTTCTTTTCTTTTGTATTTTTTCTTTATTTGATTTCTATTGTCTTTATTCCGACATTAGATCTTTCATTTTTTTCCTCTATCAATGAATAGTTTACCCAATCCACAAATCGAATTGAAGTGAAAAATTTATGAATAATCCAATTATTGATTGGTGAATCGTTTTCATTTTTAGTTTTATTTAATTCATATATTTCTCTAAATCAAAAGAATAGAACTAGATTTCTTTTTTATTTTTAAATTTTATTTATTATTCCTTTTAGAAATAGAATGCCATTGATGAACTCTGTTTTTGTTTCTTTTGATATACATACATCATGGGACCTTTTGAAGAACAGATCAAGAAGACCTTATGAAAATTGAAGATTTTCGCATAGAAGATGTAAAACATATATTGTGTATTTTAAAAATAGAAAGCATTTCTCAATTAATTTACCAAATAATCGACTTGAAATCCAATGGATTTCATTTTCATCTTTTCTAAATCTTTCCTAAATTTTAAATTTTAAATAAGATGAAAATGAATTTTGAATCTTTAAAATAATCCATATATTTGCAAAATTGATCAAAAATTAAATTGAATAAATGCTATCTAGGGACAATTCACTTTGAGGTGACTATTCCCTAGATACACATGTCATGTTATTTTATTTTTAAATTGAATCAATTTTTTTCCTTTTCGGTGATGTTAGATGCTATTTAAACGATTCCTTTTCTCTCCATGTCCGCATTTCATACAGAGGTTATTATGTCAGCAATAGTGTCCCTACTCATGATAACAAAAATTTTTGTTGCCTCATAATTTTTAAATAATCAACATGCTTTGTTTTGTTTTTTTTTTTTCTTTTTATTAAAGATAAATGCATGAAACACAATCTACTAATTAATTTGAATTTAATTGATTTCATTCAAATATCAAATATTATATATCATGGTTTATACCTCATCTTATATCTTATAATGCCTTATCTTATAATACTTCAAGGGCTAATGAAACTATTTCAATGAAATTTAACTATCTCAATCTTTAGGCGATTGTACCAAAAACTCAATTTCCTTTTGGATTTCTTTCTTCATCAATCATAACTATAGGTTGTCATCCTATTGTATTATCATACCATTGTCGCATTTGAGTTCTTTAGAAGTATGCACAATTACGACTCTATCCACTTCGGATCTTTTTAGAGGTGAATAATGTGTGTGTGTGTGTGTGTGTGTAACATCCAGATTTAATTTCTATGCTTTATATAAATATTTATTTTGTTAAGAATATTCATGCCATGCTAGTAGTGTTATTGATGATAAATGTTTTGTTTGTAAAATTAATGTTTGCTAAGCTTTAAATGTTAATAGTGAATTAATTGATAAGTGAAAGACTTAGTACATATAGTTTAATTAAGTGATTCCCATACATGTATAACTTAGGATTTTAAAAAATTTAATTAATGACCTAAATATGTATTAATCTAGAAAAATAATACCCCAAATAGATGCTCCACCTAAATTAAAATGTCTAAATATAAAATATCACCTTAGGACACATATCTCATTAAAGACATTTTAGGCGATAGTTTTAGCCAAAAGAGGAAAATAAACAAGGAAGAATTTTGGCTTGGTACATGAAACATTTCATTTTGCCCCCATCTATCTATTTAGAGAGGGCTTGAATACTAAGAGAGAAAGAGAGCAAGAAGGAAAAAATCAAAAGAGACAAAGCAAGACAAAGCTAAATTTTACCAAGGGAGGAGATGAAATTTTCCAAGAGGAAACAAACTTGGCCGAAAAATGGAAGAGGAGGAGAAAGATTGTTTTGGCCAAACTATTAGCCAAGGAGGAGAGGGGTGATTTTGGAGGTTTTAAGACGACTTTAACTTTAATCAAACCTAAGGTGAGTGTAACTTCAACTCACCACAAGACTTAGGATGATCATATATTAAATTGGAGGAATTGTGTTCTTAGAAACCTAAGATTTCAAATTATGCAATTAAATGATTTGTGATCAATTGATGAATGATTGAACATTGTGATGATGATGATGAGTAAATATAATCTCACATACACTATAAGTGGTTTAATATTTTGGGTGTTTAATTGATGCTTTGATATAAATAGGAAAGTTAGGGATTCATTATTTGTATTATGTGAAAGTTTATAAGTTGTACAATTGAATGTATATTTGGGTGGTTGTATGAATATGATTAGGTGATCGAATAGGAGAAGAAGAAGCTTAAGAAATGGATTCATTGGGATGAACCATTCAGTCAAGACTAGAAAGAAAAGAAGAAGATTGTGTTGTAGAAAATTGATGCAACTAAGGCATTTGATAAAATATATGAACCATTTTTTGGCTTAAAACTGAAGAGGAATTGATGGAATTGAATGGCTAGTTAGGCTTGATAGATTCATCCAATATGGAAATTAGATTGAAATGTGTATATTTATATATTATGGATTAAATGATGTTTAAGTAAGATTAAATAAGGATGACTTAATATTAATTGTGAAGAAATCAACTTGATTGTTTGATATAAGATCATTCGACCAAGTCCCAAATGTGAGGGATTATTGAAATGGATGATTAAGCCATAGAGTTTAGTGACTTTAATCTTAGTTAGTGGAAGTTAGATATATTGAAATGAAGAAATACATTGGATTAATTAGGGAGTAAATTCAAGCTAAGTTAAATGGATTTCATGAAGTATGAGGCTTGGATATGGCAATATAATATGTTTAGTATGCATGAAGGAGGAAAATTGGTCATGGTTGAATGAATGACACATTCAAGCAAAGAGATAGAACTTTGAATTGTTTGTTTAATACTTTATGTTATGATGGATGATGATGAATATGTATATTTATGGATAAATGGATGTGAAATGGCTTGAAAATGATTGTTTTTCCGATGTTTATAGGTGTGGCCATATTCGACCAAGAGTGAAATCCCTAAAGTTAATGTCCATATGAGATTTTATGATAGATTCATGCTTGCTTATGACTTATTATTGGAGTTTTGAATTGTTTGAATGATAATGATATAAGTACTTTTAATATGTCTTTAAGTGTGTCTTTATGATAGTAATTGTGCTTAGGAGTTACTTTTATGTTTTTAATAATCATTAAAATGTTTAATTTTAAGTTTTAAATGTTAAAGAAGTGGGTTGGGTCGTTACTCTCGTTTTTATGGTAATTATTGTAGATTGACAACGTTGGATCATAAAAATTATACTAGCCACATAATACACAACCATGCGAGCATTACACGATCGCAACGAAGCGAGCTGGAACTAATTGATGCACGATCGTCCAACACTCGCACGACTAAAGCCGTGACATTATGATAAGTCACTCAAGAGCCATCCTTTTGGGCAGCTAAGCAAATATAAAAGAAAACCATAAGACAAAGAGAGGGAGAGACGGTTATAAGGAGCAAGAAAACAAGGAAACAAAAGAAGAACAAGGGAGCCCAAGAATCAAGGAAAAAGATTAAAAAAAGTTCTTAGTAACATTCAAAAGTTCTTTCTTTCATCTTTTGTTCTTTTTTTATGACTCTAATTGTTTTGAATGTGTTATTGTCAAGCATGATGATGGATTGCTAAATTTCATTAGGGATTAACTCTTAAAACATTCCTCGATGCTAATCGTTTGGGTTTAATATTAGCTTTATGATGTTTATTGTGCTTCATGCTCTAATTGAAATTGAGAAATTGAATTGGATGATTTGTGTTATGTTTCAATGAGAATGGTTACATAATAGATTGATAAACATTGGGTTAATTGATAGTTATGGAGAGATCGTGGCTATTGATTAATTGCTTGAAAGATTGCTTAAGGAAATAATTGAAGCGATTTGGGTTTGAGGTTATTAGTTGAGAAACTATAATTTCACTCATGTTTCTTTAAGTTGATAGTTTAGTTGTTGCTTGAGAGAGAATAACTAACACCATTGGATATCTAGAGCCTTAGTCATATTGAACCCATTAGAAAGACCGATAGGGGATGTGGATAACGTTAATTCCTAGCCTATTAAACCTTGATTAATTTCTTTAAGTTTCTAGTAATTTCAATTCTTATTTCTGTTATTGAATTCTTATTTGATTTATATATATCATCTTTATCTTATTAATCTTAAACAAATCAAAACTAAGTCAATTGGTGGATAAAACATAGTCCTCGAGGGAATGATATCTTTTTATACTACTTGAGTGATCCGTGCTCTTACGGAATCAATAAGTTTTTGGCACCATTGTCGGGGACTATTATGTTTAACATTTATGTTGATCTAGTTTGGCTTGATTTAAGAATTCAATTTTATTTTTGTTATGATTAAATCTTTAGCTTCTACGTGATTTCGAGTGTATGCCAAAGAAGAGATCGAAAAGTTTGCAACCACTTAGTAGCATACATTCCGAAATTGCAAGATACGAAAGGGATCTTAGAAAAGAAATCTACCAAGAAAGAGACAAAATGGCAGAGGAAGAAGGGAATCAAGTAGGCCAACAAAGAGCTCTCATGGTGTATGTAAGGTCGAGTTTCAATGCAAACCAACAAAGTATTGCACGCCCGTCGGTTAATGCCAATAATTTTGAGATAAATCCGGCATTGCTCAAAATGCTTCAATTAACTCGTTCAATTCTATGGGTTGGCCAATGAAGACCCAAATGCTCACATCGTGAATTTCATGGAGATTTATGATGCATTCGGATACAATAGTGTGTCCAACGATACAATAAAGCTTTGGCTATTTTCTTTCACTCTAAGGGATCGAGCCAAGGCATGGTTGAACTCATTGGCTCTAGGTTCTATCAACACATCGGATCAATTGGCTCAAGCTTTCTTAGCCAATTATTTTCCTTTGACGAAAACGATAAGGATTATCAAGGAGATTACCACTTTCCATTAAACTGGAGGGGAATCCTTATATGAAGCTTGGGAGCGATTTAAGGAGTTATAACAGAGTTGTCCACATCATAATTTACTAAGGGATTTATTGTTGCAAACATTCTACAATGGAGTCAATCCTACTACAAGAGGAACCATTGATGCGAGCAGCGAGTGGTTCATTGATGAGAAAAATAGTTGATGTCGCATATGATCTTCTCGAGGAGATGGCAACTAATAATTCTTTATGGGTAATGAAGAGGACTAGAACACCGATAAAAGAACAAAAGGGGGTTTTTCCCTTGATTCGATGATAACATTGCAAGCAAAAGTGGTTAAATTGTCAAAGCAAATAAATGACATGAGAGTGGGTTCTTCAAGTCAAGTGGCCACCATTAAAAATCCATAGGAGCTATGTGGTCAAGTTGGGCACCTTACTACAAATTGTTTCTAGGGTGGAGGAGTAAGTGAAGAGCAAGCTAATTTTGTGGGGGCTCAACAAGGTAGAGTAGGAAATAACCCCTATTCTAATACATATAATCCAAGTTGGAGAAATCACTTAAATTTTTCTTGGTCCAACAATACGAGAAACATGGTTAGACCCCAAGGGTCATTCAGATTTCAACAAGATCGGTTTTTCTCTATTGAGTCTAAGATGGATAAATTCATTAATACAATAGGGAGTAAGTTGACTAGTCAAGAGGAGGCTCAAAAGAGAATAGAGGTAAAGTTTGATCAAATTGTTAAAAACCACTATTCATCTATTCACAACTTGGAGGTGTAAGTTGGGCAATTGGCCAATGCTTTGTCAACAAAGAATTTGGGGAGTTTGCCAAACAACATGAAATCTAATCCGAGGGAACAATTGAAGGCAATCACTCTTAACAGGTGATAAAGAAGTAAGTGCACCCTTAGTTGGGAAGAAAGGAAAAGAACCAATTGAGGAGAAGAGAAGTGAATAAGGGAATCAAGTAAGCAAATCGGATGTTTTATCCTCTTCCTTTATGCCTAAAGTGCCTTTTCCTCAAAGGTTGAAGAAACAACAACTTGACACTCAATTCTCTAAATTTTTGGAGAAATTGAAGAAATTGCAAATCAACCTTTCTTTTGTAAAGGCATTAGAGAACATGCCTAAGTATGCAAAGTTCTTGAAGGACATCTTATCAAATAAGAGGACTTGGGATGAAAACTAAATGGTGTCTTTAACGGAGAATTGTAGTTCCATTATCTCTAACAAAATGCCTTCAAAAATTCAAGATCTAGGGAGTTTTACAATTCCTTTTATTGTTGGTCACTTAGAATTTGCTAAATGTTATGTGATTTGGGAGCAAGTATTAACCTCTTACATTTTTCTATTTTCAGGAAATTAGGCTTAGGAGATGTGAAGCTAACTCCAATGGTATTAAAATTGGTCGACCAATCAATTAAGAGACCTTATAGTATGATTGAGGATGTCTTGGTGAAAGTGGATAAATTCATCATCTCGGTGGATTTTGTGATGCTAGACTATGATGAAGACAAGAATAGTCCTTTGATCCTTGGGAGGCCATTCTTGAACATCGAAGAGCCTTGGTGGATGTGTATGATGGAAGGCTCATTTTGAGGATAGGAGAGGAATAAGTGGAGTTTTGCATGAGCAAAGCTATGAAACATCCTATAGAAAGGAAGATGTGCATGAGAGTGGATGTGATTGAGGAGTGTGTTGTAGAAGAGGAAAAGAAAAAACAAAACGATGAAATTTTTTAAGAAGAGAAGCAAGTGGTAGCTAGTGTGGAGGAGGAGACGTCTACACCGAGTTGCTAATGAGGACGGATACCACTACACCACCATCAATTGTGAAGCCACCTACATTTGAGCTCAAGCCTTTACCAAGTCACTTTAGGTATGCTTTCTTGGGTAAGAAAGACACTTTACCTATCATTGTGTCTACTAATTTATCAAAAAAGCAAGAAGATAAGCTCGGTAAAAGTAGTGAGGAGTAAGATAAGGGCTATTAGGTGGCAACTATTAGATATAAGGGGTATTAGTCCGGATGTTGTGATGCATAAAATCCATTTAGAAAAAGGATGTAAGACGGTGAGGGAAAGACAAAAGAGATTGAATCCCAACATGAAAAAGGTGGTAAAGATAGAGGTTATCAAATTTTTAGATACAAGAATTATCTATCTAATTTTGGATAGTGAATAAGTGAGCTCGGTGCAATATGTTCCAAAGAAATGAGGAATGATAGTGGTAGAGAATGAAGAAGGGGAGTTGATTTCCACTAGAATGGTTACGGGTTGGAGAGTATGTATTAATTATAGGAAGTTGAACTCAACCACAAGGAATGATCACTTTCCCCTTCCCTTTGTTGACCAAATGATTGAGAGAATTACGAGGATCAATCTCTAATAATTATGATCCAACGTCCTCAATCCGCAATAATTACGATAAAAACCGAGAGTAATGGCCCAACCCACTTCTTTAACATTTAAAACTTAAAATTAAACATTCTAATGATTACTAAAAACATTCTAGTGATCCTTCCTTGTGGCCGAGTTCAACTTCCTATAATCAATATATACTCTCTAACCCACAACCATTCTAGTGGAAATCAACTCCCCTTCTTCATTCTTTACCACCGTCATTCCTCCTTTCTTTGGAGCACATTGCACCGGGCTTAACCATTCACTATCCAAAATTGGATAGATAATTCCCGCATCTAACAATTTGATAACTTCTATCTTTACCACCTTCTTCATGTTGGGATTCAATCTCCTTTATCTCTCCCTCACCGTCTTACATCCTTTTTCTAAATGGATTTTATGCATCACCACATCCGGACTAATACCCCTTATATTCAATAGTTGGAACCCAATAGCCCTTATCTTACTCCTCACTACTTCTACCAACTCTATCTTCTTGCTCTTTTGATAAATTAGTAGACACAATGATAGGTAAAGTGTCTTTCTTACCCAAGAAAGCATACCTAAACCGACTTCGTAAAGGCTTGAGCTCAAATATAGGTGGCTTCACAATTGATGGTGGTGTAGTGGTATCCATCCTCATTAGCAACTCTGGTGTAGACGTCTCCTCCTCCACACTAGCTAACCCTTGCTTCTTTTCTTAAAAAATTTCATCGTTTTTCTTTTTCTTTTCCTCTTCTACAACACACTCCTCAATCACATCCACTCTCATACACATCTCCCTTTCCATAGGATGTTTCATAGCTTTACTCATGCAAAACTCAACTTGTTCCTCTCCTATCCTCAAAATGAGCCTTCCCTCATATATATCCACCAAGGCTCTTTCGGTATTCAAGAATGACCTCTCAAGGATCAAAGGATAATTCTTGTCTTCATCATAGTCTAGCACCACAAAATCCACCGGGATGATGAATTTATCCACTTTCACCAAGACATCCTCAATCATACCATAAAGTCTCTTAATTGATTGGTTGGCCAATTACAATACCATTAGAGTTGACTTCACATCTCCCAAGCCTAATTTCCTAAAAATAGACAAAGGCATGAGATTAATACTTGCTCCCAAATTACATAAACATTTAACAAATTCTAAGTGACCAACAACATAAAGAATTATAAAACTCCCTGGATCTTAAATTTTTGAAGGCATTTTGCTAGAGATAATGGAGCTACAATTCTCTATTAAAGACACCGTTTGGTTTTCATTTCAAGTCCTCTTGTTTGATAAGATATCCTTCAAGAACTTCGCATACTTGCACATATTCTCCAATGCCTCTACAAAAGAAAGGTTGATTTGCAATTTCTTTAATTTCTCCAAACATTTAGAGAATTGAGTGTCAAGTTATTGTTTCTTCAACCTTTGAGGAAAAAGCACTTTAGGCACAAAGGAAGAGGATGGAAAATCGACTTGCTTACTTGATTCCCTTCCTCACTTTCCTTCTCCTCAATTGGTTATTTTTCTTTCTTCTTAACTAGGGGTGCACTTACTTCCTTACCACTCCTAAGAGTGATTGCCTTCAATTGTTCCCTCGGATTAGATTCCGTGTTAGTTGGAAAACTCCCTAAATTCTTTATTGATAAAGCATTGGCCAATTGTCCAACTTGCACCTGTAAGTTATGAATAGATGAAGAGTGGTTTTTAACAATTTGATCAAACTTTGCCTCCATTCTCTTTTGAGCCTCCTCTTGACTAGTCAACTTACTCCCTATTGTATCAATGAATTTATCCATCTTGGATTCAATAGAGAAAAACCGATCTTGTTGAGGAGTTTGTTGAAATTCGGATGGCCCTCGGGGTCTAACCATCTTTCCCGCATTGTTGGACTAAGAAAAATTTGAGTGGTTTCTCCAACTCGGATTATATGTATTGGACTAGGGGTTATTCCCTACTCTTCCTTGTTGAACCCCCACAAAATTAACTTGCTCTTCACTCACTCCTCCACCCAAGAAACAATTTGTAGCAAGGTGCCCAACTTGACCACATAGCTCACATGGATTTTAAATGACGGCCACTTGACTTGAAGAACCCACTCTCATATCATTTATTTTCTTTGACAATTTAACCACTTTTGCTTACAATTTTATCATCGGATCAATGGAAAGAACCCTTTTATTTTCTTTTATCGGGGTCCTAGTCCTCTCCGTTTCCCATAAAAAATTATTAGTTTCCATCTCCTCAAGAAGATCATATACGGCATCAATCGTTTTTCTCATCAATGAACCACCCGCTGCTGCATCAATGGTTCCTCTTATAGTAGGATTGAATCTATTATAGAATATTTACAACAATAACTCCCTTGGTAAATT